TGAAATTATTTTTATGTCTCAAAATTTACCCTCTTCTTCGACATCCTCTTTCAGATTTGCATCACTTCGCAGTCGTTCCTCCGTCTTTCGTTCAAACTCCTCTAACCAAGTCATCGTTGCGCACAAGACGCTCAACGATTTTCCTGTACCCGTAGGAGATTCGAAAATACCAACCTTAAGAAAGGAACCTGAAGTTTCACAGCCTTTTTTGTTTCTATTCACCTGTCGGTTCTCAATGCACTGACTGATCTCCCTCATAAGATTCAACTGTATGTCGTAGGGAGGAAATGGAAAGGAAAACTCGTCCATCTACAATCTGGGAACTCATATGCTAAGAGTTGAACCATAGTCAGAAAAATGTCACTGTCTTTACAGAATAACAACAACACTTTTACCAATCAAAGTTTATTTATTATTACCGTACCTCTCACAATAACACAAAAAACTCTTGAAAGCATGCGAATATTATACAAAGTAGGCAACTTATGAAGTGGAAGAGATCAAACTAATGTCACGGGAAGCACAAGAATGAAATACTGCGAATTAAATCTCCGGATGTACAATCATTCTCTGTATGGTAACTTTGTAGGCATCGATTTCTGCCTCATATAGTTGTTGCAGCTGCTGCATCTTCTGTTCTTCGTTGACGCATGAAGCAGCAACCTAAACTGATCAAATTAAGATAGCCTGCGGATAAAAATGAACCTAAAAGTAGTCACAGTAAAAACAGAATAAAGGAAACGATACGTAACGTTTCATATAGATACAACCAGTTTACAGAATTTTTTTTTCTAATATTGCACTAGTTGCTCCAAGCACTATAAGATAACGGCACAAACCTGAGCAACAAAATAAGAAAGAATATTTTTATTACAAATTTCCGTTCAGAAAGCTGATATAATTTTTGAAGTTAGCATAGAAAGACATGTGCATTTGTAGAAAGATATTCAATGCAAAAAAGAAACTGAGACAGTAAGCCTGCTCCTTAATTTCTGTAAATTTGCAGATTTACTCACGTAGCGGCATTATTGACAGTGTTTTGATAGCTATTTTCCAATCAGTCTATCTCAGTAAAAATTGAAAATTATTCACAATCAATTGTCTT